TGCATTTGCATGCTTTCGAACCGCTAGGTTGGTGGGAGCTGGGACAAGCGACGGGCACTCACTCCGTTGCGTGGATTCGATCTTATGACTGCTGGTCTTCTGACCCTGCAGCACAGGCTTCTGCGGTTTAGCCCACAGCACCACCATGTCCCATTTAGATTAGCTACCCGTATGCTAAAAGTTCTGAAGATTTACATACATACATAGAACAATCCGTTTCTCTCCCCATACATTTATTACTACAAGCACCTTCATCTTCATCTATTCAAAGGTGCATCAGTCACAAGCAAGGGCATACCTAGTACCTGAAGAACTTCTCTTTGATTGACTACGTTCCAATATGCAGGAAAACTATATGAAGGAGCACTGAGTCTTCTGATTTTCTTATATTATATAGTTCTAAACCAAGTATCCGCAACGCAGTACATTACCTACTACTTACCACTGATTTAATATAGACAAGTAAACCTAAGCGAGGCACCACTGTATTTTACTTTAAAAAAGGGGGTGGGGAGTAGTTAGGGAAGAACACAGAGCCCACTACATTTTCCGGTGCAGGCTTTACCCCCTTGCTGTTTTCTACAGTGCAGTTTCCCTCCCCATTACCCTGCAAAAGCAAATGAAGGATTTTCTCCATTCACTTGCATGGGGTGGCTGATATATGTGGAAGTATGGGACAACACATGTTTTGTGACTGGCCATGTCATCACAACAGTGATCTTCCAGTCATACCTACAACATTTAGAAAGATACCAAAGGTGCAGAAAGTTTCTAAATAAAACTTTTTAAAGTTTAGGTCACCACAATACTTTATCAGGCCTTTCCTGTTTATACAATAGAAGAATGCTGTCTTTGCTGATAAGAATAGGGGCAAGACATTCAAGAGCCTTCAACATTTCCTTTGTTTTCTTCTTCAGACTCACCATTTAGCTGTGAAACTACAACAGATACCTATGTAAAGATTATCTTCAGAAGAATAGGAAATTACTGCCATCAAGTCCATTCTGAATTACAGTGACTTTTCTAGGTAGTGAGCACTCAGAAGTGGTTTATCATTCCCTTCTTCTGGGGCCACCCTGGGATTGTGCAGCTTGCTTGCCCAAGGTCACACAGGGTGGCTCTTCTGGGACGCACAGCGTGAAACTGAGCTGCCAACTTCTGGTTCTGCAGCAAGATACATAACTCACTGAGCTATCCAGCTTTTACTTTTCAAGAAACAGAAAAGAATGTGTGTGAAAGGCTTGTTTGTAACTACATTTTTTTTCAATTTAATGTTTGTTTTTTAACTGTGATCACATATCAAGTTAGCCTGTCCCCCTGCTCTAGTTACACATATGAACCAAGAAAGAGAATCCAGTTTTTGTGTGTTTTTTTAAAAAAAACTTTCACTTTGAAGACATAGAGGAGCAGAAGTCTCCCTCAACAGATGGTTATTCATCTGTGATGAGACAAGTCGTTTGCAATAGCCACTGGCTAGGAAGACAGAAAAGTTGGTTGATTTTCCAACATTAAGTTCCCTTACAGATTTTCTTTTTGCAAAACAGACGGTTCATAACCACCAATGCCTGCCAGCTTCTCTTTCTGCAACATGTACAAATGCCTGTCTGCCCACTTGCAATCATAATCCGAATTTAATAGGAAGTAAAAGATGAGCAATCCTCTTTATAAATCAATTCTGGGGGGCCCTGCAAAAGCCGGAAAGAGTTCTTAAATGTGCTTCCATTAAAAGCACATCTTAGTACATCCTGCTGGCTTTGGTTGCCAAAACGCTCCCTCTACTCCACATCTCCCTTCAGTCTCTTGTGGACGATAGAGCATAAATTAGCTATTCATTACATGTGAAGGAGTCAAAGATAACGCTGCACCCTGCTGAGGAAGACTGCTACTTTATATGTCAATTCCAGAACGAAAGCATCTGCTACCGTACTAATATGTATGTTTAAAGCTGCTGCAGATTATATGCTGTTCATTGCCTGTTTGTTCAGATATTATGAACTCCTAAGCAGCACTGCTGAAAATCATTCCTGCAGAGGCCTCAATTTCCTGGTACTTTTTGTAAAACACCCACTTCAACCCCCAAAAGGAATAGCTTCTGCACTTTTAGGATGGCGCATATATATATGGATAAGCAGAAATGCATGACTTGGTCAGCTGATCTAAATATATATACAAAACAATACTTTTTTTAAAAAACCCACTTCAACCACCAAAAGGAATAGCTTCTACACACACACAGCACACGCACACGCACACGCACACGCACACGCACACGCACACGCACACGAGCTTCTGCACACACACACACACGCACACGCACACGCACACGCACACGCACACGCACACGCACACGCACACGCGCGTGTGTGTGTGTGTAGAAGCTTGTATATATATTTATATATATTTCTGCTTATCCACTTCAGTAGTAATAACTTGCACACACACACACACACACGCGTGTGTGTGCATGTGTGCAGAAGCTTGTACAGTATATATATTTAGATGAGCTGACCAAGTCAGGCATTTCTGCTTATCCACTTCAGTAATAATAACTAAAATATTAACTAAATCTCCTCTAGAATGTAAGAAAAAAAAACACCAGACACTACCTACAACAGCACCTCAGTTTACGAACACCTCATTTAATGTAATTTTAGAAAATAATGCCCTGGTTTACGTTTTTTTCCTCCCCCCTCCCCCCCCCCACTATACGAAAGGGTTTCCTGAGGACGCCTCACGTCTGGAGGTGTCTAGTGCCGCTCCCATTCCTAGTGCAATCTGCATTTTGGTTTATGAAATTTCCACATTATGTAACATCCCGGAGGACGCATTAATTTTGTAAACCGAGGTACGCCTATGTTTCAAATATATATGAGAATGAACAAAAATATTTCATAAAAATCAAGATAAAAAGATAAGCAATCGCCTGATCACAAGGCAAAAGAAATCGTCATTGTCACCAAAAGACTGAGAACACTAAACATTTTAGTGTTAAATTTACTTTAGAATTAAAAATGTGAAGAAACCATCCTTCACATTCTTGGTTTTAGTTTTACTAGCAAAATGTTGCATTATATTGTATGAAAACTGAATAGAAAGGATAGACAGACATTATGATAAATTGGATAAATAGCTAGCAGAGGCATTGGATTGCTTCAAAAAGTGGTGGGCTTCCTTTTGCTGGAACTATTTTTTAAAACAGAAGTTTGACATCCATCTGTAAAGAATGAACAAACTAGGAAACAATAAACTGGATAGTTTATATTTTGTTGCTTCTAAATTTGTTGGGATAAAATATTTTAAACAGAATAATAAAACAAAGTATGTAATTAGCACCATACAACCTTGAATCCATCAATTCTGTTCAATTTCAGAAGTTAAGTAGGGTTCGGCTTGGTAAATACTTCAATGGGGACTACTTAGTAATACAAGGGTCTTACTCTATAAGACTAGGAAAAAATTCAGCCTGAAACCCTGCAAAACAACGGCCAATCAGACTATTCTATTCAGGCAGATTTTCTTTTAGTGACTGGCTGTCTAAGTTCGATTCTTAACAGGACTGATATATTTTGGTGAGTTTAATGTGTTTTTAGTACTGCTTTTATCTATGATTTTCAAACTATATTTGTTTAATTTTTAAAAAAATATAATAATCTATTGTTTGTAGCTTTTATACTGTTCATTATTAAATAGTGCAAGCCACCTTGGGTCCTTCTTAGGAGAAAGGCATGATAAAAATGTTTTAAATAAATAAATACATTTTTTAAGTTGATGTATTCTCAAAGGCTTTCACGGCCGGGATCCAATGTTTGTTGTAGGTTTTTCAGGCTGTTTGGCCATATTCCGAAGCTTTTTCTTCCTAATGTTTCACCAGTCTCTGTGGCTGGCATCTTCAGAGGACAGGAGTTATGTGTGTATTGTTGTGATAAGGGGGAGATGATCTGTCATTGTGAGTATTTAAAAGAAGACTTGGAGATTTGGTGCACTGGATTTAATTTTGGTCAGCAAAAATATGTCACAATTAGTATTATTACCCTTCAACATAACAGAGATGCGAAAAACTTTCAGAGTACTGAAAGTTTGTTGCTGCTCAGTCGTTAAGTCATGTTCGACTCTTCGTGACCCCATGGATCAGAGCACGCCAGGCCCTCCTGTCTTCCACTGCTTCCTGGAGTTGGGTCAAATTCATGTTGGTAGCTTCGATGACACTGTCCAACCATCTCGTCCTCTGCCGTCCCCTTCTCCTCTTGCCTTCACACTTTCCCAACATCAGGGTCTTTTCCAGGGAGTCTTCTCTTCTCGTGAGATGGCCAAAATAATGGAGCCTCATCTTCAGGATCTGTCCTTCCAGTGAGCACTCAGGGTAGATTTCCTTTATAATGGATAGGGTTGTTCTCTTTGCAGTCCAGGGGCCTCTCAAGAGTCTCCTCCAGCACCACAATTCAAAAGCATCAATTCTTTGGCGGTCATCCTTCTTTATGGTCCAGCTCTCACTTACATAAATACCGTATTTTTCGCTCCATAAGACGCAGCTCTGCATAAGACGCACCTAATTTTTAGGGGAGCAAAACAGGACAAAAATATATTCTAGCGATTTCAGCCTGCTAGGCCCGTGGGGGGGCTGGAAGATGGCTGGGAAGGGAAGGGAAGGTGGCGATTTCGGCCTGCTAGCCCCATGGGGGGGCTGGAAGATGGCTGGGAAGGGAAGGGAATGTGGCGATTTTGGCCTGCTAGGCCCGTGGTGGGTGGAACATGGCTGGGAAAGGAAGGTGGTGATTTCGGCCTGCTAGGCCCATGAGGGGTGGAAAATGGCTGGGAAGGGTGAAAACTGCCACCTTCCCTTCCCTTCCCAGCCAACTTCCACCCCCACAGGCCTAGCAGGCTGAAATTGCCCCCTTCCCTTTCCTTCCCAGACCCTTCCCAGCCATCTTCCACTACCACCTCCACGGGCCTAGCAGGCCGAAATCGCCACCCCACCCCCACGCAGACCCCCGGGAGCTTACCTGGCCTTCCTCCGCAGCTTTTTCCTAACTGTTGGGGCAAAAGAGCTACCAAGAAGCAGCCTCTTACGCCACCTACAGTTAGAATTTAAATTGCACCCTTTTTTACCGTATTCACTCCATGAGGCGCACACACTTCCCCCCCACTTTCTTTGGAGGAAAAAGTGCATCTTATACTCCAAAAAAATACGGTAACTACTGGAAAAACCACAGCTTTGACGATGCAGACCTTTGTCGGCAAGGTGATGTCTCTGCTTTTTAAGATGCTGTCAAGGTTTGTCATCCCAAGAATCAAGCGTCTTTTAATTTTGTGGCTGCTGTCACCATCTGAAGTGATCATGGAGCCCAAAAAAGTAAAATCTGTCACTGCCTCCATATCTTCCCCTACTATTTGCCAGGAGGTGATGGGACCAGAGGCCATGATCTTAGGGTTTTTTTTTTAAATGTTGAGCTTCAGACCATTTTTGTGCTCTCCTCTTTCACACTCATTAAGAGGTTCTTTAATTCCTCCTCACTTTCTGCCATCAGAGTGGTATCATATGCATATCTGAGGTTGTTGATATTTCTTCCGGCAATCTTAATTTTGGTTTGGGATTCATCCAGTCCAGCTTTTCACATGATGTATTCTGCATATAAGTTAAATAAGCAGGGAGACAATATACAGCCTTGCCGTACTCCTTTCCCAATTTTGAACCAATCAGTTGTTCCATATCCAGTTCTAACTGTTGCTTCCTGTCCCACATACAGATTTCTCAGGAGGCCAAACTTATCTGTTGTTCTTTTTATCTCTTGACTCCCTACTTTAGCATTCCAGTTTCCTATAATGACAAGAACATCTTTCTTTGGTGTCAGTTCTAGAAGGTGTTGTAAGTCTTCATTGAATTGGTCAATTTCAGCCTCTTCAGCATCGGTGGTTGGTGCATAAACTTCGGATTACTGTGATGTTGAAAGGTCTGCCTTGGGTTCATACTGAAATCATTCTATCATTTTTGAGATTGTATCCCAGTACAGCTTTACCCACTCTTTTATTGACTATGAGGGCTACTTCATTTCTTTTATGGGATTCTTGCCCACAATCGTAGATATGTTAACTGTCTGAATTGAATTCGCCCATTCCCATCCATTTTAGTTTACTGACGCCCAGGATGTCATTGTTTATTCTTGCCATCTGCTGTTTGACCACATCCAGCTTACCAAGGTTCATAGACCTTACATTCCAGGTTCCTATGCAGTATTTTTCTTGCAGCATCAGACTTTCCTTTCACTTCCAGGCATGTTCGCAGCTGAGCACCCTTTCGGCTTTAGCCCAACCACTTTATTAGTTCTGGAGCTACTTGTATTTGTCCTTCACTCTTCCTCAGTAGCATGTTGGCTGCCTTCTGACCTGAGGGGCTCATCTTCCAGTGTCATATTTTTTCGCCTTTTGTTTCTGTCCATGGAGTTTTCTTGGCAAAGATATTGGAGTGGCTTGCCAGTTCCTGCTCCAGGTGGATCGTGTTTAGTCAGAACTCTCCACTATGACCTGCCCGTCTTGGGGGTCCCTGCACGGCATAGCCCAGAGCTTCTCTGAATTACTCAAGCCCCTTTGCCACGACAAGGCAGCAATCCTTGAAGGGGATTAAGTAACTGGAAGTTATTTAACTGTAATGGAGTATCAGTTATCTCAGGCACCTGACACACAAATTACTTGTGTTTACAAATGGCAATGAAGAATTCACTGCATGATTAGCAACCCTTGACCCACCTCTTGTCTACAGAGGTGGAAGAGAACTGAATCTACAGCCCCTGAGGTGAAACCAGATACTGTAATAGTTCAAGGGAGTTTTCAAGTTTGAAGTCTCTGCTTTGGAATTCTGCTTTCTGAACTTTTCTCTGTTTCTCTCTCCACCCTTTGTTATGCAATGGCTAGCCCTTAATGACATTTTAGTAATCCAATAAAAATTATAACCCAACCCTGATTCTGCATGTGGACAAAATGACCATGTTGGCTTTTGTATTATATTTACACAGCGAGCAACTGCAGCGAATTTAGCTACAGAACAAAATTAAGTGACAATAAGAAACTTCTGACAGTGGAAGTTCGAATCCACTCCTGTACACAAAGGCAGGTCAAGTGAAAAAAAAACCATATGCCTCATATTCACACATTATTAGTGAGAAAGCAGCTGTTCAAAGAGACCTGATACACAGGCACTTACACTTTAGATATGCAATCTGCATATGAGAGAAAATAATTATTAAGAATGGTGGGACACCTTCATTCTTTTTCTTTTTTGATTACTTTTATGGGAACTGTCCTCTCCGGTTTACTTCTATTTGTCAGAATAGGCTACTCTGGCAAAAGATGAAACCCTCAGGGAAGAGCATTTGAGCATCTAATTGAAATACTCAGTGATAACAGTGCATATGGATAGCAAAGTCCCTTCTCTCCCCCCACAAATGTCAATCATATCTGAAAGCTCTTCTTTCATATAGAAATGACATCATATATACAAACAGCATATGATGCTTTAAGGGCTTTCACACAAAAGAGGAACAGGGTGAGAGATGATCTGCTGACAGAGGCAAAGTAGTATCTCATGAAATTGTAAGGAAATGCAACTGCCTTTAATATTGATGAAAGCTGCCATTATTTTGAGAATTGCCCTTGACTCAGGTGGAGGCAATGCTGATGTCCAAGCAAGTGTATGAATACATAATCACTACTGGGCCACATTCATGAGTTGCACTAGACCAGTGATGGTGAACCTTTTGAGCCCAAGTATGTGTGTATGTATATGTGAAGGACAGGAGGACATGAGTGTGCCGTCTCCTCCAGAAAGCAAGGATATTAAAGGGGAAAAAGAGGAGAGGGAAGCATCAAAGGGGGAGAAAGACCAGGAAGGAGTTAAAATAGAAGTGTGCCTGTCAGAAGAGGGGAAAGGGAAAGAGGAGGAGCAATGGATAGATGTATGGGCGGAGGATATAGAAGCCAGAACGGGAGCGCGGAGTTTTCGAATAGAGGCGGGAAAAAGAGAGAAAGAGGAGAAGCAGCAGGAAGATGTCGGTGACCTGCTGAAGGACTTTCCCAACTTGAAGGTTGGTGTTTTATTGCCAGATACTGTACCGGCCAAAGGAGGAATTATTATAAAAGAGACTACAGAATGGACGGTAGTAGTGTACACGAGGGGACGCAGTCCCTGGAAGAAGGTGGTGAGACCGGACTCCACCTTCAACAAGCCACTCCCAGAGAGGGATTGGGCCCGCCATCCGTGCTGTGGCACTATATGTGTGGTAAGGCGTGCACCTCTGAGAAGACCCAACGACAGGGAGAGATTTGGACCGGCACCCCAGTTTTAAAGAGGGACTATGGTCATGATAAACATGCTAGAATAGATGGACAGTTAAATTGTTGGGACTCATTCATTCTCACCGAAGTTATTATTGGCACACCGTTGTTAAATATGAATAAAAATTGTTATGGTTTGAACAACTCAACTCCGCCTGTTTCTGCACCAAATTCAGGGCCGCCTAAGACTCCTACGAATCTTTTGACAATATATTAAAAAAACCCAAACTAGTGGGCGGCAGTGGAAGTGGTGGCGTAAGCGAAAATCCTGGGCACGGAGGTACCTCTAGACTCCACTCTGGATCCAGCGACTTATGGCTCGTGTGCCCATGGAGAGGGCTCTGCGTACCAGCTGTGGCACATGTGCCATAGTTTCGCCACTGCTGCATTAGACCAACCATTCTCAATTTTGTTTGGCCACAGCCATAAACACAATAGCAAATAAATATAGGCCAAATCAGGATTGTATATGTTGCACAACAAATCTTATAAGATGGTGTGTGAAGAACTGTTTCCACTCTGTGGCCCCATTCCAAAGTCGCCATGGCCCCCATTTAGAATGGCTGCACTAGACATTTTCAATCAACTACTGACTGTGAGTTGTGATTACTTGGGCATATCAATGATCATGGTGTCAAGAATTTATACATCATGTTTCCAGAGTATGTTATGCCAATTCTTTCATTTATCCTTCAGCATTCTATAAAGTAGACTGACACCAGCCCCAGTCTCTTTGTTTGCAAATGTAAGCCAACCTACCATCCTAGGTTGAGTCAAATCTAGTCTTCTAAGCTGATAACTCAGAATTTCAGACTAAATTAGTTGTTTACATGGAACCTGTATAACAAACGAAAAGGCCTTCTTCTCACAGGTACAAATGAGTTTGGGAGTAGGGAAGAAATAGCTATTGAGAAGTGACAGAATAGGTGTTCTGCATCAGCTGCAATGCTCAGCTAAATAAGTACATGGTGGGAGCACAGAAAGCCTCTCTGAACATGCTACATGTGTGTGATTGCATGCAGTGTTTAGTTGGACCTTAACTCTCATAATAGTTCATGCATCTCCCAAAATGAGTTCATGGAATCGAGTCTTGGTAAAGCAAATTATAGACAAAGAATGTTCTTAAACAACTATGATTTGCAGGTTACTCATTGGGAAAAAACACACCTTGCCACATAAACGTTTATGGGCTCCAGACTACTTCGTCAGATACAGCTCACTCTGTGTGCAAAGAAGTGGACTGCAGTTTACAGAAGCCAAATAAAACATGTTAGTCTTTCAGATGCCACAAAACTCTATGCTTTTGCTATTACAGGCTAACACAGATATTCTTCCACATATAATGGAATGACTACTTCACAAACTGTACCTGTTTTTCATGCTAGCCAACCACAAACCTGCCTACCTTGTGGAAAAAGGCCAATGTGTAAGTTTGTCCATTAAGCCATAGTGATATGAGCATTGTCTTCTGACAGTTTCCTAATCTATACATACATGACCAGGTCGACACTGATTATCTTGATGTTGACTGAAATGACATCTGTTTGTGCATAAACAGATACAGCTTGACAGCAATTTGTTTCCCCTATCATCACAAATCAGCAGCAAGCTTAGTAGGCATTATTTGCATTCTGTAGTATATTATAACAGCCCACTGTAATAATTCAAACACATGTGCCGTGTACTAAAATCAAGGTGTTCAGAGTCTCAAGCACTCCATATTTTATTTGGATAATCCTACATCCAGATCATGTCATGTTATACATTAGTGCACCTAGTCACAGAGCCATTTAGAGTGCATACTTTTCTGTAGCTTTAGTTAAAATCTATAAATGGTTTAATTTGATTAATCTAACACAGTTCAAGGGAAATAAATTTGTTTCACTACCTGAATAGTTTTCAGTTTATGTCAGAATCCTAAGAGAAGTTTTATTATTTTTTTGTTGCATAAGTATTGTGTCGTCCTCATCTGCTTATTACAGAAGAGGTATATGAATTACTATAAGCACTAAGGCACATATCACTGTCTTGCTTTCACTGGAAATTTAACAAACCTATAAGCACTATTTTATTTGTAGCAAATATTCCCAGTAACTTATCCTTACAATGGATCAAAATAAGATCCTGAAATGAAAGACAAGATTTTAAAAAAGAAAAATATTTTAAAATGTCATTGCTAACAAGGTGAGCAATTGTGACCGAATACACCCAAGGATTAGGCACATCTTAGACATTTTACTGAGATTCATTTTAGTATTTGATTTGCAGAAATTTCCAAAATAGTTAAGAGACACACAATATTAATATTTTCCTACAACTAGAATGCTGTTTGTTATCCATGTTAAATATAAAACAAATTCCATGAATGAATGAATGAATGAATGAATGAATGAATGAATAGGATTTTCTGTACAGAGGATTCAGTGTCTGGGAACAGAGTATTTTTAAAAATGAAACCATGTATTGACAACCTGGCCTAAGATAACTACTATTAGTATTATTAAAATGAGTAACAACAACACATTACAAAGCATCTACTAGCCATGCCAACCATCATGCAGGAGACCCAGTGAGATGCTACACTTCCTGTCTTTCCAGAGGAACATCATGGCAAAGGGTTTGTAAACTGATCTGATAAAAGAGCCCCCGCTTCTGGCTTTTCTTCTTGATCTTCTTTCTTTTGATCTCTCTTTGTTCATGTCAGCATAATAAATATTTCAGAATTCTCCCCCCCCCCATAACAGATAACATCAGGAGCATAACATCAGGCCTTCCACAGTATATATCGAGAGGGTCATACAGGGTACACTGACACAGGTGTGAGGACATCTGATCTTCTCTGCCTTGTTGGCACATTATTCTTAGATTCACTTTGGTTCTCCCAACTCAGATCTATTGCCTATTAAGTAACTTCCAAGTAAAACAGTTCTCCATGTGAATGGGGGCTGGACTTTCATAGGGTTCCAACTATTTTCAAAGACAGGTAGATCTTTCTTTCCTACTATATGCATGACATTCCTTGCTGTTCCTTCAACATTCACACGTTCTGAAAAACCGTGTCCTTGATTTTAATCTGAGAGGAATGGAGCAGTGGCCAAACAATACTTTATGTAGATATTTTAAGTCATTCGTCATTAGTTGTTACATTTCTCCATACATCACCGGATGCAATGTCTTCTAGGTAACTTATTTTATCCAATAATGATCCCATAGCTTTCTGTCAGTGTTACAGCTACTGGTTTGGCATAGGCTGAAAAATACTATACTGGGCTGATTTTATTCTGCCTGTAGAATAGCATAGATCCAGAGCAGTAATTCTTAGTTTTTGTGATTGTATGAGCTGACTGGCTCGCAATAACTTTCAAAGGATATTGTTTTTGTGTTTTGGCAGTATTTCTTATAGGCGTGGGGAGACAGTGACTGTAGTTCAATGTCCTTTAAGTTTCCAAGATGTCTGCTTGTTTCTTAGTTTGAAGGCACATATCTAAGTTTTAGTAGAGTTGAATTTAAGTTGATTTTTATAATAGTATGTGTCAATATCTTTGGAATATATCTGTTAGAAGATGTCCTACCATCTGAAAGCTGTTCTACTTAGCAGCAAGTGTGAGATCATCAGCGTAAATGAAATTTTTGATACTTTCAAGGTAGTATTGTTTGCTGGTATAGAAGTTAAATAAAATAGGAGGCAATATACTGCCCTGGAG